TGAGTGGCTGCAGTACAGGCATTTAACCACTGTGCCACCAGGACTCCCCATTGCAGGTGGGGAGAGGAGGACAGAAAGAGAGAGACATGAAATAATGAATTAAAAGAGAAAGGTATCAGTTGGTTAAGCAGATAAAAAGAAGAAAGTAACTCCTACCACATTTTTGCTAGCTGTGGTACACTCTTACCTGGCTCACATTAGGAAATGAAACTGCACTGCAACTTCAAGCATTTAGAGCAGGGAGAGGAAGGAGGGACAGATGGAGAAAACTACAAAGCATCAGTTCTGTGGTACCCTAATCAGCAACTTCTGAGACTGCTCAGTATTCCCCTGTAGAAATTGCTTCCTCCCACTGATTCCTTGGTGCTACCTACTGTTTGAACAACTCGAGGAGGCTGTGGGGGACCCCCTGGACAATCTAAAGCAGCCACTCCAAAGCAGCCAGCAGCAACACACAGTATTGCAAACACTCTTTCTTTTCAGGATGGTGCACTTGCTCTGAGATTCCTCCCCTCCTTGCTAAGGCTTGGGGAAGAGAGACTGGGGGCTCTGAGATCTGGAAACTCTAGATGAGCTATTCGTTTCCGAATTTCATTTCACAAGAACAAGTGCAAAGTGGAGCATTAGTATGACTCAGGGGGGAAGCAGACGAGGGCGTCCAGGACGCCCTGGGCCGGTGCACCGCGGGGCCGCAGCCTCCGCACCTCGGCGCACCGGTGGCATCCCTGGAAGGAGCGCTAAATCAGCGCTCCTTCCTCAAGACAGCGAAAGTGCGCCCTAAACTTTCGCTGTCTTTTCCGCCGCAGCGCATGCGATCGCTGCGGCGGGAGGTTGCCCTGGGAGCGCCGGCCGTGCGGAGGGCCGGCAGCTCCCAGGGCGACCTCAGGAAGAGGAAGGAGCGCCGCGCGTGCGGCTGCTCCTCCTCTTCCTGGGCTCGGAGACGACTCTATTAGTCGTCTGCCGAGGCCCTCACTCCAAATATTTTTGCTTTATTTTCTTTTAACAGCTCTTGATCACTTACAAAGATTCCCTCAACCCCATAAGATATGTTATCTTAAGGCAGGGGTAGGCAACCTTTCCCCTTTAAGGGCCGAGGGACTTCAGCTCCCAGAATCCCAGGAGCTATTGGCCAACATGGGACTATTGGCCAACATGGCTGAGGCTTCTGGGAGCTAAAGTCCCTCGGCCCTTAAAGGGGAAAGGTTGCCTACCCCTGTCTTAAGGCTTCCTTCAAATAGCCTGCTATTATTTATATATCTTCCTTAGGAAGCACAACACTATAGAACATATGAAAAGCCTAGACCAAGATACCATCTAACCACAAATGAATACCAGGGGTATTTTTCAGGGGAAGGAACTGGCAAAACCACCTCTGAGTATCCCTTGCCTAAGAAAACCTTATGAAATTAATGGGGTCACAATAAGTTGACAGGTGACTTGAAGGCACATACACACACATCATCTGACTCGTCACTCAGGGCTAAATCCGGCAAGAGCAAATCTTTGAAACAATGGGGATTTGGTAAGTCAACACTTATTTAAATGTGATGAATCCAGTAGTTGAGGGTTAGTCATTTGGTTCCAATAGTGCTTCATCCAATGCCTCATCTGAAGCAGGATGCAAAGGCAACAGATCATAATGAAAGTTCACAGCATTTCTAGTCATGGGTATACTGATTCTGAACCACAGACATATAATTTAGCTATCATGTCTAATAACCCATTGGATCACCAAGACTCCTATGTAGTTGTGCCTTCTCAGGAATTATCAATCAACAGTGTACCAAATGATCAAGCTGCAGAAATATTAAGAGAGCTATTATAATTGAGCCCTCCAAGGAATAATAAAGGCTGCCTGCAAGCTATGTTTTTCACACTAACTTGGGAATAAGCTGCACTGAAATCCATCTGGATCCATAAGCCTCCAAGGGCAAACCACTATAATAGGTACCCCACCAGTCTGCAAGGCTTGGGAACAATATCAAGTAATCTCTCCATGTTTTAGGAGTAATCATAATATCCATCACCATCATTTGTCTGTCCATCTGTAAAAACCTATGTCCAGTGTATACAAAGCCTGAGGTGTAGGGGCAGGTATCAATTGATACAGGCCCACAGTTGCTGTGATGTCTTCCACACTTAGCTGGCGGTGGGAGGTCCAGTTAAAATTGCAGTCCCAGCACACATAGTAGTAATGAGATTTCCAGAGCCTTGCCTGATCTCCTGATAAAATGAATATTCCAACAATCAAGGACATTTTCTTCATATCTGATTGCCAGATATGGCAAAATAGCACCACATAAGACCCATGTGGTTATATAGACGAAATATATCAGCTACAGTTATCTTGCTCTGTTGGTTGTTGTTTTCTACATTTTGTTAAATCTATGGAGCTGCAACGCATTCATAATCTGCTTCTGTATCTTCATGCTGCCGTAGGAATTGTATATACATGATACTGAAAATCTTTAGAAAAACATAAAACATTTGAATCCTTACAGAGAATCTGGAATTTATTAATGATGGCTATAGTAATTGCATACCAAAGAACAAAGATTATAATTACCAAAATTTTGTGATGTATATATGCCACTGTTGAATTATATTGAAAGCATCAATGATGAAAATTACATTTAAAAATATATTTTTATGAAACTGTACAGTATAATGTATATGTACAAGTAGTGTATATTATAACCTAGATGCAGCACAATGTTTCAAAATTTCTCGTGGGTCAGTATTATTCACATTATCTCCTCCCTCAGTTTCTATTGTGCCTTATATTTATAGAAACCAACATTTTAAAATGTACTTCCTTCCCCCACTTTGAGTCATCATTTTTCAAAAGAAGAAAAATAGATGCTCATGTACATTGGCTATTTTAAACTCAGTTTGCAGCAGTTGAAGTAAGTTGAGGACAATGGGGAAAAGTGGGAAGAGGAGAAAGAAACTAGGGCATTTTAAAAGTAGCTGAAAAGTGAGATAGCAGAGAATTAGGGGTTAAGCAGACGGCCAATTGGGCCGTTTTGGGGGCAGGGAAGGGGAGGGGCAGCCTCACAATCGGCACCCCAACCCCTTCCCCAGGTCCTCCTCGGAGCAGCCGGCCCTCCGCACGGCCGGCGCTCCGAGGAAGACCTTCCGCTGCAGCGTGTGTGGACGCTGCAGCAGAAGAGTCGCCGAAGGTGTGCCGCAAGCTTTTGGGGCGCACTTTCAGCGACTTGTGAAAGGAGCGCCAATTTAGCGCTCCTTTCCAGGGGCGGCGAAGGTGCGCCGCGGGGCTGAGGTGTGGGGATACCTCGGCCCTGCGGCGCAGCTTCCCGGGGCGGCCCATGGCTGCCCGTCTGCTTCCCCCCTTAGTTGGCATTGTCAATGCCAAACCAAGCTAGTTGGAGGGTAGGTCCTCAGCTCATTGGCTTACACATTGTAAACCACTTAGGGAGTGCTAGTTCACTGATAAGCGGTATAGAAATGTACTTGCTATTGCTTGCTGTTGCTATTCCTTGTTCCCAGGACCAGACTAAGACATTTTGCTGACAGGGGCATAGGCTAAGTTAGTCCTCCTGACATCCATATACAAAACCTGACTGAACTGACAGTGAAGCCTTTCTTAAACACTGACAGTGGGATAGTGTCCTCCATGACAAAGGATATGGACAGGTAGTTCAGGGGGCCCAGCGCAGGTTATGTAGCATACACAGCTCTATCCTTCAACAGAAGGAAACAGCTGGGGAGTTTGGGAAGAATAGCTGGGAGGTTGCAACCACTGCACCTCCAGCCCTTGCTGCCTGAAGGAGATGCTTCACTCTGTCTAATGGTAACACTGTCCGCACTGGTGCCACAAATTCAAGGCCAGAATTTTTTCATTGTGACTTGCTGTCCTATGATTACAGAAAGTTTGGGCATTTGGATGGACTGATCAGAAACTCTCTAGCAGAACTGGCTATGG